CCCCAAAACCCCAAAACCCCAAAACCCCAGTTAAATTCCAAGCTTTATAATTTAATTCATGGACATAGCCAAAATTTGTTATATCTCTAGTAAGAAGACGGCTACAGAGGCTGTAGAAGGTCATAAGGAAGAACTTAGGTTGCATAGGAAGGTAGGAATTTTGGTATAAATGTAGGTCTGGAGTGGATTTACGAAGTATATTAGGTCACAGTGTGATAAAGTACGGTATAGGGACTTTGGGAGCTTTTGGAGAGTTGAAAAATTTTGAGTTTGAGTTGAATTTAGGGGGTTAGAAGTGGATTTTTTTGGGAATTTTTGGGACGGTGGAAGAAGAGATGGGAGGTTCAGTTGGACTTAAAGCAGTAGGGTCTTTTGGTATGAAAATAGAAGCTTTGATGAAGTAAAATTATTCAATTTCTTGCTTATTAAAAACCATTCTTATTTAGAAACAAAAGTACTTTTCATGCCCCTTTATTGGAAAGTTTGGACCAGTCCCTGACCAAGATAGTGAAACTGTAAATTTGTTGCCTAAGAAGTATAGAAAAGATACAGATTTGTCCCTTCAGTGGATTTCATAGAATCTGCAAGTTTCAAATATGAAGAAAATGATTATAATCTCTCTCCATTTGTAGATTTGAAGGTATCAATTCAAAGCTGAATTATTTAGAGTGAAAAAGTAGTAGTTATGAGTCCTTCCTCTATTGCACAAGTTTGAGATACGACTAAGACCAAAGTTATCGAAGTTCTGAAAGCAATATTTGCAACCATTATTGAATTATCAAAAAGTGACAAGCAGCTGTGACTTGATCTTAAGATTGGCTTTCTCAATGTTGAACAATCCAGAAGGCTTTATTTTAGCAATACTCAAGACCAGAGTAATACAAATAACAAGAATATGAATAATTTAACTGCAGATAATATATCTACAGTACCAAGGTCGATAGGCCCGAACTCAGTTTATTCTTATAAATCTAATTTTTCAACGATGAGGTCAGTCAAAACTCCTATGACTGTTGGAAAGAGCTCTGTGAGATCTAAAATGAGTAGTAAATGGTCATTATTTAGAAGAAACAACCCTAAGAGTCAAGTAAGAAGACCCGATGATCACTATTCTTATCAAAGTGGGAACCAACTGAATTATACATCTCCAGTCCAAGTTTCTACTCCAGATAAGCCGTACCCGCACTTAGCTAATTTTATCAAGAAACAAACAGAGTACAGGTTTGGTAAGCGTATGGGTAAAGCAGAGAACCTCACTCAGAAAAATGTCATGGAAGAGCAACTAAAGCAGATCCATGAGAAAAACTTCAAAGAACAAGAGGAAGATCTTAAACAAAGAGAAGAAGAGCTCAAGGAATATCTCTCCCTTGCTAACGATAACGAAATAGAAGCTATGAAATAAAATTGAACTTATCAATAAAAGAAAGGAATTCCTTAAAGATATCGAAGACCTCAAAAAGCAGAAAGCATTGAAATACGAACTTGAAAGAGCAAACTCTAGGGAATATGAATACAACTACTTTCCATTCACCCATGGGGATAATATCGAGCGCAAGAGGAAAATGATCACTGAAGAGATGAAGAATCAGATGAAAGAGCACTACAAGAATAAGAAAACGGAGTTCTTGGAGGATGCTTTGTCCCAAAAATCCTCTTCTAAGCAATCAAATCATCGTTCATTATCAAATTCTACTGGTGATGTGTTCCTAAAACCTCATAAGCAGCACTACTTGCGCCATATAAATGCTGAACAGCAAGAGGATACTAACAAGAAGGCTCTAAAGAAGTATGAAGAAGAATTGATGAAGCAGAATATGAGAAAAGGTCATCGTCCTGCTTCTCAGACTAAAGCGCTGCCTCAAATCAGCGCTTTGACAATCGAAGACCAGAAGTTACAAGACAGAGAGCGCCACCTCGCTAAAATGAAAGAGATGAAGAAAGTCCTTGGAGAGCAGTTTAGAGAAAAGGAAGAACAGAGACTTCAAGAGTTTCTTGACCGTAAAAGAGTCCAATCCACCTCCTTCGGACCTCAAGAAGATGATGAATTCAGGCAGATTCTGTACAAGCAAAGAACTGATAAGATTAAGATGCTCGGCAAAGAAATCAAGAATCAGATTGATTCAAAGAAGATGGTCTACGATGCATCCAAAAATATGCAGATGGAGGTTGAAAAACATCAGAATAAGAATATTAACAAGTTCCTTGCAGATGAAGCACTAGACGCAAAGCAGAGGAAGGAAAAGAAAATTAAAGAAAACCTTAAGAATTGGGACCAACAGCAGAAGGCTAAGGCTATATTGGAAAATATTTCAATATAAGTTTTATTTCAAAAACATTTCTCAAACTGGGGTTTTGGGGTTTTGGGGTTTTGGGG